CCTGGGGGGATTTAAAAGCCGGGCAGACGAGGTGCTTAGGGCCAGGGTTTGGGGGTGGGACGGCAGGGGTAGGGGGGCGGTTGGGCTGGGGGAGCTGAAAGGGCTTTGCCAACCCAAACCATTCTGGGATTCTATGAATTCTTTCCCAGGGCTGAGATGGTGGTGCCGGAGTTCTTGGAACTCTTTAAAGAAAGAGCTACAGCTCCGTTCTTCGTCTTTCAGGTAAAATGAACAAACAGAAAGAGCTGTAAATCCTTCTTCCTGCTAAAAAATGAGAGAATTCCTTACAGGCCTGGCTTGGGAGCCCTAAATGGGCCGGCAGCTTTTTAAAGCTGGCAGTAGTTGCTGTTCTTGCTCTGCCATATTGATTTTAATTCTGGGGGTGACCCTGCTTCTCCCTAACGAGTTACTGTCATTTGCTCTTTTTCTGGCTTCCTACAATTAAATGTCTTCCCTCTTGGCTGAAACAAATAACCTCCTAGGAATTGCAGGCTTTTTTTTTTTCCCCGAGGGAGACTGGAATAACGTGCATGTGGTGTTCTCCCTGCAGGTGTTCTGTGTGGGTTTGTGGTGCCTGGATGAATACTGGTATTACAGTGTTTTCACCCTCTCCATGTTGGTGGCGTTCGAAGCTTCTCTGGTCCAGCAGCAAATGAGGAACATGTCAGAGATTCGGAAAATGGGCAACAAGCCGTACATGATCCAGGTAAGCAGATGGGGAGAAGACTGCGCGTGAGGTGTTGGATGTGGCTGCCTTTTAGCTGATTTGCTGTTCCCTTTTCCCATCCTTTTCCTCTGGTCCTTTTCTGATGCGGGCAGGGCTTCTGATACTCCTTTTATTTCTTTTTGTTTTACCCTACAGGTTTACAGAAACCGCAAGTGGCGCCCCATTTCCAGCGACGAGATTATTCCAGGGGACATTGTTTCCATTGGTAAGGACACTGGTGAGGCCGCCCCTCGAATGCTGGGGATGGGGGGCCTGGGGCATCTCCCCTAGGAGGAAAGGCTGAGGGAGCTGGGCTTGTTCAGCCTGGAGCAGAGGGGGCTGCGGGGGGACCTGAGTGCGGCCGCTCAGGGCTTCAAGGGGGCCCCCAGGGAAGACGGGGACAATCTTTTGAGCAGGGCCGGCTGGGACAGGCCACGGGGGGATGGTTTGAAACCAAAGCAGGGCGGGTTTCGCCTGGAT